CTCAACCAAGTAATATACAGTATTACTGAGGAGCATATATTTATGAACTGTCCACATGATCTATTTACCATGGAAAACTCAGTTATTCATTTGAACTGACCCTGTAGTTAGAAAGCTGGTTATGATTTGAGGAACAGGTAACAGCAGAAGAGATGCTGGGCATGGCAGTCCAAAGCTAAGTTGGGGAGAGTGCAAGTCATGATCCATTGTTAGACCTCTGGGTGATCTGTAGTGGATGGACAGGCATTTCTTGCTTTCATGTTGCTTAAATCATTATCATTGTCATCACTGTGTGCCATCAAGTCAATTCTGACTGATGGTGACCCTTTTCAGAGTTTTCAACACAGAAGGTACTCAGAAGTGGTTTATCATTCCCTTCTTCTGGGGTCATCCTGGGACTTTGCTGCTTGCCCAGGGCCACACAGGTTGGCTCTTCTGGGATGCACAGTGGGAAAATGAACTCCCAGCTGCTGGTTCCCACAGTCAGACAGCTAAGTCACTGAGCTATCTAGCCACCTATTTAAATTATAGCAACAACAAAATTACTTAATTGGGGGGAAAAACGAGAAATGGATTTTGTGTGAAAAGAAACATAAATTCAACTCATTTCTGGCTTTGGAAACTAACTTTTAGGCTCTGAATATCTCAGAGGAGTGTGGCTTTCGCAGTCTAGATATAAGTCTTCAGAACATGGATATGACTGGTGGGTCTCGGATTCAAATAAAATACAAAAATAGACCTAACAATCTCCAAGTCTGTCTACCTCTGTTCCAAACATTATAAATTATGTATTTCAGGACTGCTCTTTGAGAATCTAGTTCTAGATATAAGCACAGAGTCTTTTCTCCATGTCCAGCTTGCTTCCTTACCTCTGAGACTGTTAATTTAACAGCCACTTGTAACATAACACAACCCAATTCAGTCTCCATTGCCCAAAATATTACAATGAAAGAAGGCATTGCTGGAGAAGACTTCTTGCCACCTGAAGTCAAATCTCGATCTGAGTGTTAACAGTGAAAGATTTCATAGACCAAATCCTCTGTTGCTGTGATTTCCACCCTTGTGTCTTCAGATGTTCTTGGACCAAAACTCCCAAAAGCCTTCACCACTAGCTGTGCTGGCCAAGATTTCTGGGAGTTGTAGTTCAAGAACATGTAGAGACCCAAGGTTGGGAACCGCACCTCTAGTGCTTGCACACAGAAATTAATGAGGTTTGTGCCGAGAGTCTGAAAGATTGGACCACAGTCCTAACTATCAGTTGCTAGGAATATCACTTTTAAATAAAGTGAAAATTGTAAAACATTTTGAATAAAGTGATTCAGAAACAATATTTGTACACTGGATGGATTATTATGATGATGCAGAAAAATACCTGTCAACCGGATTCATCAGATGCCACCACCATCTTGAATAGGGGCAAAAACTGCGACAATATTGCTATTATTCCTCATGGCTGGAGATTGTTATCCATGTATGACAGCAGCTTCCTTTCCATGTTCCATGTTTCCATGTTCGTGGAATCAATTACTGTATTTGGTTCTTCCTTTTGCAACTGTAGTCTTAGTACACATTTATCATAAAATGCTAAATCCAATTGTTAAGTCCCAGAAAAAGTACATCCACTGAAAAATAGGGCTTGTCAAGTAAACACTTATAGAAGTCCAGTTGATTCAATGGGTCTACTCTATTGGGGAATCACTAATTGGATCTAGCCCATTATCTCTGATTGCCCTTTATTTTAAAACCCTTTGTTGATGGTTTGATTTGATTTTCTACAAAATGATCTGTTTTAATTTACTTAAACACATCTCAGTGTATCAAAAGTAGGAGGGAATTAACTGTACGAATGGGGTTAAGGTGTTTTGAGGTGTTGTGTTTTTTTAAGGCAGCAGGACAAAAGACATAGACGTGCACAAACTTCTTAGGAAATATATCCCTTTAAAATCATCATAGGTCCTATGTAAACATGCATTAAACTGCAATGTCATTGGTTCAAAATCATTATGGAAATTTATGTACCTTTTTTCTTTCCTTTTTTTTATAATAAAAGAGTGAGCAGCAATGAAGCTTTAAAATTTGGGGTGCCTTAAAAAAGGAATGGGGAAAAAAAAAGAAGACATGCCCTATAAGATTAATCTAACTGAAGTCTTATATCTAATTGTACTCTCAGGCTTTGCCAAATGATTTGCTTTTTGTGTGTTAGGACAAAAGATTTCTGTGTATGGCTGAGCAGAGGTTAACCATGCATACCCAACAGCTGCACAAGAGCTGAAAACAGGACCCAGATGGAAAGATGCAGGGAAGGGGACTTGACGTAGCTTAAATACATCACTATCTGTACCTTTATCTTGCGTTGTGTCTGCCCACTTAAGAAAGAAGTCAGAGGGTTTCATACATACCACTTGGAAAGAGATGCAGCAACATTGTTGTTAAAATTCAGACTGATCAGAACTGCTTTACAAGCATCATCACCATAACTAATCTTTAGTATATTTGAAATGGATTTGCCTCTGTCCAGACTGTCAGAAGTCTGCTTCACAGATTTTAACATCTGACTGCTCAATTTTAGTATCAAAACATGAATTGTAAACATTTATTTATTTATTTATTGTATTTATACCCCGCCTATCTAGTCGAACAACCACTCTAGGCGGTGAGCTTCAATTTTATAGGTTTTTTAATTTTTCTATTATCAATGTCATACAAACTTGTTCAGAAATAGATCCAACAGGCTTTAATGGGATCCATTATTTCTAGACAAGTATTATAGGACTATAGCACTAGACACATATTACCAAGCACTACTAGCAAAATAAACATGGCTATGATAGCCTGAATCTTCTTGGTAGTCTTAGCTAAAATAAATTCAGTGGCTGAAAATCTATTGCACCTTGCATAGTGCAAAGTTATGCCCACAGAGGTTTCCAGGGAGTTATACCTAGGTAATCAGCATTGTGCACCTAATTTCACAAATGACAGCACAGATCACTGTGCAGCTAGTTGTGCAATTCATCTGCAGAACTACTTGTTAGGTATGACTTTGGCCTTCAAACGGGTTTCACCAACACTTGCATAACTTCAAGTTATGAAGGCGTAACTACGCAACATGATTTCAGCTACTGTATCAATGAGATCTGCCAAAGTACTAAATCAATTGTTGAGTGGTGAGGCTCACCACTCAGCAATTCATTTAGTGGGTCAACTCTAGCTAGGACTAACAGCTGGATTGAGGCTTACATCTAAGAAAAGTTGATCATGAGAACGTGGGAATACTACATGTATAGACAGTATTTTTTGAACTGGTAGAGTAAAGAAGGACACGGGAAAATCTCCAAAACTGCATCATAGGGGTTTTGTGGTGTGTTTTGACATGAAAAGACAGTACGCAATGGGCAAGCATTCAACAGGCTGCCCCTGACTGGTTTATAGAAAATTTCCTGTGGCCTATGTTTCATAACCAGTGCAGAAATTTACTTACACATCTGCGGGGCCAACAAACAACTAGAAGAAGCAAACCCCCGGATAATTCACCGAGGTAGATGAGGAGATTACAAAGTATTTTGCTTACTCAACTTAAAACCTTGCCTCAATTTCATATTGTTAAAAATGTCCACCATGGTAACTATCTGTGATCAACTAGTGATTTCAATAAAAGTTTAAACCAGACCAAGAGAGTTCAGGCATATGTCTGCCTCAGAAGTAGCATGGCTGTGTGTTCAATGTTACAGAAGAATAGTATTCTGTGTAAAGGGGTCTTCTATCTGAAAGGCTGTCCTAGAAAAAAACACAGGAAGGGAGATCAGGAGCCTCGAAGTTGCCTATTGGGAGTTACCACTGGGACAGCAGACGTGTTGGCCCCATGGCACATTGTTACACAACATATATTATATGTAGAATACTCCTTAAGAGTCTGTAGAGTTTACAGCTAATGCGTTAATTTACCTTAGAAAAAGCAGCAAAGAGTTTAGCGATACCTTAAAGAACTAACAGGTTTTATGTGGCACAAGCTTTCTGGGACTGCAAGTCACTTTTTCAGATGCAGGCTACATATTGAGCAGATCGTGCCGGGGAAAGGCCTTTTGTGATAGAAAGAATCAGGTGCAAGAGTGCAAAGTTTTTTTTTACTACTGCTATTATTTGATTCACTGTTATATCTGTTTTGTTTTATCTGATTTGTGAACTGCCCACAATAGTGCCTTGCACTAATGAGGTGGAACAGAAATTTATGAAATAATTAAAATAAATATGTTACATCAGGTTTCCCCCCCTAACTTTGCAGCTATACACATATATTAATTTGTAATTGTTTGGGTGGGTGGGTGGGTGGGGAAGGGATATGTAAGTAGGTAACCCTATTTAAAAACCTGAACCAAATTGAATCTCTGCTTTGAAAGGGACCACAACATGCCCCTCAAATTTGATCCATTTTCCAGCTGTTAAGCCTAGATGTCAGTAGTGATTGGAGAAACTGGAACACTGCCCAAAATCTCTGTGTTAGAAGCACCTGCTGGTTTGTCTTAAAACTGACTACGATCATACATGAAACTTGATGGGAGCAGGATTTTGGAAAGCAGGGAGATCTCCCCCCCCCCGCCTAGGTTTGGTCTGCTTTTCATGGCTTTAGCTATAGTTATTATATGACAATAAAGTATTTTCAAAATTCATAGCTCAGCTCTAGCAATTAGACTGCTATTTCCCTTTATCTAGATTAAGACCAAGTGTTTTAAAGCATTAGAAGAGAATCTTTTTTTTTTTTTAAAAAAATCCTTAATCATTGAGTCAGTTTGAGGACCTGTAGATTTTGATGACTGATCTGAATAAGCAGAGATTACGACCAGTGCAAGATTTCTCAGTTTAATGAGAAATACTGTGATTATAAGTCATGAATATCAAGTTGATTTCCCTTCTGTCCCTTCACCCACCCACACCTTCCAGTTACCCCTTATCACACCACAGAAAACCAATCATGCATAATATGGGCTGGGTATTGTAAAGGATATTGCACTCCCCGAGTAAGGTGAGATTTCTGAAATATCTTGTAGGTCACCACACTCAGACTTGATGAGCGATATAGAGAGGCTTTCAGCGGTGCTGGGTGGGTGTGCTGGTGAACAAGGATGATGGTTCATGTGGTGCGATGACATCTTGGTCCTCAGGCTCGTGGTCTCTCTTGTTAAATCTAAGGATTCTGGGGAGGATCGGTCTTTCCCTGGAAAAGAGGCAGAAGGAGCACCTAGTGGATTCTGAAATGGGTAGGCCATAAGGGGAAGCGGGAAAGGATGGCGGAAAGAAGACGAAGTAAAGCCAGCAGTGGCAGAGAGTGGAGACTGGTGGAGAGCAGGGTGGTGGCTGCCAGGTGGAGGGGCAGAGGCAGACTGGTCTGATGAATTTTTGCGGACTACGAGGGGCAGTGCTTCTGTTTGGTCTGTGGAATTGGGCAGCGGCATGTTGCCAAAGGTGTCGAGCGGGTTTGGAATGATGACATCACCGAAGCACTGGAGGCGCTGGTTGGCTGTGTGGAAGTTGTGGTTCTCCCCATTCATGGCAAATCTTGCTTGGGGGATCTGAAGAGGTGGGAGGACCTGAGGAAGTTGGCGGGCAGGTTTTGTGGAGAAAATCTTGACCACAGTGTCCACAACCTGACACATGGCTGTGTTCAGTTCCTGCTTCAATGTCTCAGCTAGGTGTTTCCCTTCAGGGTGAAAAGAGTTTGGCCCGTGGTCTTTTTCTTTGGGGCCTTCCTTCCTGTGTTTGTTTTCAGCTATCTCCTGCTCTCTGATCAGGGCTCTTGCCCGATCAATGAATTGCCCTGGGTCCAGCTCACACATTTCGTTATCTGACCTGCCCACTGAATCCCTTGCTCTAGAGTCCAGCATTTCTGAACGTAGGCTATCTTCAGACAGGTTGCCAGCATCTTCATCGTTTTCAGAATCTGTGCTGTCATAGATTTGGTAGAACTTTTCCTGCAGCTGGCGCAGCTGTTTCTGCATGTCCTCCAGCTGCTGTTTCAGCTGTCTGCGCTCCTCTCGCTTCTGTTCTTTCCTCGCAGAAACCAGCTGCTGGAAACTCTGCTGCTGCTGTTGAGGCAGCTTTTGCTTGCGCTTGTTTTCTCGGTAACTTTCTCGGGGACTCACGGACTGCGGAGCCATCTCTCTTTCATTTTCATTGCCCCTTAATGCCACACTCGGGGAATGGCTCATCCCCCGAATGATATTCTCAACCCGGGCACGCTTCGCTCTCAGGTGCTCATCGCATAAGCGATCCATATCAAACTGGCTCATTGTCGGCCTGCCAAAAGGGGAAAGACACTCCTGGGGGCTGTCTCTTGAAGAGTTGCTGCACACATCCTCCTGATGTACTTCAGAGCCTGTGCTAGAGAGACCACTGGCTTGAAAACTGGGCTCTGTGCCACCATTTTTGTTCATGTTATTTTTCAACAGCTGGGAAATTATGGTTGCTCCTGGAAAAGGCATCATGGCATCTTCATATGAGTTCGCCCTCTTCAGCAGCTTGCGGAGCACATTTGACTTCTCCCCATCTGCATGCTGCACCACTGAATACTCCACATCCTGCTCGGAACCTTGGGGATTCATGGCACTAAAAAACGATGCTCTTGCTTTTGCAAAAAATGCAGATGCTGTCCCTACCGTCCTTTTCACTCCAATGTCAACTCTTCTTCTCTTGGTCTGCCTGCTTAAGAGGGCTGTGCTGTCATGGTCAGGCATCACTGAACTGTTATTGTGCCATCTTCAAAAGCTTGTCAGCTGGGCACAGCTCAAGAATCCTGGGACCCTGGCCAACAGAACAAAAGGACTGATGAATCATTTTCTTTAAATTTCTCCAAATTTCCTGACCTCAATCCTGAATCAAATGCAAAATGCATAGGCTCTGGGATTTATGGCACATTACAATTATTGCAATTTATTATGCACTCTGCTTGAAATGAAACATTTTTAAATATTTCTGCTCCACTGGTTTAAGATGGATTAAGATTTTTTTAAAAAAATAATAAGAGGGGAAACTGCTTAAGCACCAGTAATATATGACTCTCTTGCACAAATGCTTAAAATGATACTGTTTATCTTCAAAAGAAACAATAGATTAGTAGAACACAGATTCTAACAACCAATTGATTGAAATTGAAATTTAGAGTATTGATATACATGTTACAAAAGAAAATGAAATTAGGTCTTAATTGTTAAACAAAACAGCCACATAAAATTTGGCCTGTAATAATTTCACTGGAGAAAAAAGTTAAAGGAGTTTTTAAGACAAGAAAAAGACATGTCTTTTAGTTCTGCATGTGTTTCCAGATGTTTAAGTTGTTCATATATCTATTTAAAAAATATCAGCTCTTAGCTTGCCCAAATTTTCAGAAACAGTTCTGGAAAACACCTTTTGAAAAAATTAACTGGGGAAAACTGGATTTCTGAATATTTTGATATTTAGAGTCACATCTACCACTGGTACCAAGAAAATTGTCTATATTTGAATCTGTTTTCTCCAAGCCTATACAGGTTACTGCCAGTGTACCATTTGAAACACCCCAACCTGTTATCTTGAAAGGGAGTTGATGGGAAGAAAAATATAGTGATAATTAGGGTGTTTTCATATTTTGTGCACTGCATATATGGGACCATATTCTATTCATGAGCAGAAACAAGGGGTGGAAGCTCCCAATGTTCTCCTTTAGACAACTTCCAGAAATAATATTTCAGGTGCCTAATGAAACCATTCTTACATACAAAATTTTACATACACTGAAGCTTATTTCCTCTCTCTTTCTTTCTGTCTCTTTCTCTCTCACACACACACATACACAGCCAGAGTGAAAGAAAAAATATGGGGAGATGAAAGAAATCAACATCAACAACAGCGTGAGAAAGGAAGATATCTTTTCTTTTATAGGAACTCTCATTGTTTCCTAGGAGTACAAAATGAAAAAAGAAGACAGATAACACATTTCCTTGCATTTTATAAAAGGCTCTTGACATCACTTGTGACTTATTAACTAGCGATGCTAAACTCACATTGCACATGAGGCATTACAGACTCCTTCCGGTACCTTCATGTTGAAAGCTAATACCAAGTTAAAATTAATATTCTCCTCCCCAATACAGTGCTTATCTAATATTAAACTTCATGTTTGCTTAACAGAGCACAATCTTCACAATAACAGGGTATCTTGCCAAAGGCAGCATTCAGACTTTTTGGAGTTGCTCCCATCTGTTTCGGTTCACCTGTAAAAACATCTACATGCTCCCTAGGACTGCATCTGTGGCTGGCTTTTAAAGAATGCCTATCCATGCAAATAAGCATAATTTCAGCATGAAATAATTTGTACAATCAAGTGAGTAGCCTGTGCTTATAAGTACAGTAGTAGCAGCAGCAGCCTTTTAAAAGATGAAAACCATGTTTCTTTTAATAATTTGAAGGATATGCACAAACAAATCTAACTCTTGTGGACATGCTAAAAAAAAAATCTTAGGATATCTGGGCTTTTGTTTGTTTGTTTGTATAATGTGGGATTTTCATCTATTTATTTTACCTGAACAAATACCTTCCAAGAGTTTGTAAAGCCAGAATCAAGCACGGTATTTAGTGGTTTTATTTTAAAATTCTACAAAAGACACACACTTAGGATTTTGGAAATTAAGCTACAGATCAGGTACATCTAACTAATTTTAAATGAGAAGGAGGTTTGGTCATGGGCACCTTAACCACATAAAAATACAGACCTGATTCACTTTATATGGCCACTAGGATTCAGATTATATGGTAGAGCCAATGTTATTGGAAGGCCAAAGAGGACAAAACTTTTGGTTAATCAGGAGCCGAAACTTAAAATATATGGTATTTAAGAATTATATTTTCAGTGGCATCACAAGGGAAATTTCAGGGAATTTGGATAATTCAGAGAGTCAGATCATCACTTAATAAATAAGTGGCAATGGTCTGACTGTTCTGCCTAAGATTGTGGAACAAATTTAAGTCCATTGTGAAGTAGGCTGGTATCATAGTTTTCACACTTTCATTGGTGCACTTATTCTACTGGGAACAAAATATAGCTTAGCTGCGCAAGGCCTTTTTTTGCTCCTAGATTATGATTTGATAGACCTTTATTCCATATATAAAGGACCAAAATCTGCAGTACTGTAAATCATCTGAATGGCCCAAATCCGTGGCCTATTTATATGGGCAGGGAAAAAAAGTTATAATCATATTTGACTAAATATTTAGTTTCTCAATGAATGTAAAGTTACACCAAAGAGTTTTGCTATGGAGGTAGCCATGGGTTGAACATTTACAACATAACTATGAACATGTTTGTTTCCCAAACAGCTCAGTTTATGCATGTTTACTCAAAAGTAAGTCCTTATCTGTTTCTTGGCACTTACTTGCAAGTTAGGTATGCATACAGTTCTTGCTTTCATCTACAAAACAGGTAACTATGCTGTACACTGAAATCAGCTCAAACCATTTGGTAACACGTTTTAGCCTAAATTTGACTTCATATATCAACATCCATTTTGATTCTTGAACTTTGAACTATCACAGGATTCCCCAAAGAGGGCTAAAACAACCCTGCTCTTTCCTAGCATATCCGGCCAAAACTAAAGAAAAATATAAAATAAAGAAAAAAAACTTTGTAGTACCTTAAATACTAACTGCTATACACATTTAAATATGAGCTTATTTGGACAACTCCACTCCAGACAGCCTAAGACTGTGAAACCATTCCAGTCCTTTGTAAAATAGACAGGTATCATTTTGTTCAGTTTCACTGTTGTCCAAGGACTTGTCCACAAAAGCACACGTTAAAGTATAACAGTTAGCCTTCTTGATTTTTAATTTTTCTTGTACTTTTGCCTGACATGTTAGCTGAGACTAATACAGCTACCTCTTCTAAAACAGCTCTTTCCTAATTTCTATCTACTTTTGTCCTCATCCACCCAAAGTTAAAGACAGGCCTAGTGTATGTGTAAAGCACTGACAGACAAAACATTTAACTGAAAGAGGTCATAAGGTCAGTGTCATGGATTTGCATTCCAAGGAATCCATTTTCCTATCTTACAGACTATCTACCTATTACTTCTTAACTTGGTTCTGCCATCAGGAGGTAAGGGCAATATTGCAGGAATTACGGCTCACTAACAGTGTGTATTTGTCGTACTTTACCCCTTTGCTCACACTGACCTAATGCCATCCTACTATGTTTTCATCACACTAAGATTTCTTTCTTTCTTTCTTTTCTTTCTTTTCTTTCTTTCTTTCTTAAGCCCAAAAAGTAAGAAATGTTTTCTTTTAGCCAAAATGCTACATATCTCTTGATTTCAAAAGTGCCAACATGAATTGACATCCTGGAGGAAAACAAAATATCACATCCAGCAGAACGTGAGACGGCAATTATGGGTACGTTTGATGTGATGAAATCTTTCGTACTGAATATGTAGGGGAAAAGTGGAGAACTGTATACACAGTATACTCTTTTCCATTTTTGACGGCAGAAGTACTATGAATCCAGCTCATTTCTGCTTTAAAACTAATGAGAAGCCACTTTAATTCTAAGATAGAGCATAGTTCAGTTAAATTTGGATAATCATCTTAACAGTTTGAAAACATATTACAAATTACTCTTGGCCTGTCCTTTTTAGTCGCTTATGTAGGAGGTAGGATTTTTTAGAAGTGCTCAGTGGGATGGATCAGGCACCACCTTTCTATGACTTCCATGGATATAATAATCTGTTCTCTTCTAGTGACACCCCATGCTCACATATTGCCTGTTTCTAAATACTCAACTCCAAACTCCCATGCATTCAAGTTAGCCACACTAGAAAAGTTTTGGGTGGCCTAGCAAATATATGACAAAAATGGCTGTGGAGAGAATTAGATGTCCACAAGTGGAGTGCAAATTCTTGGAAATCATGTTTGCATTATGACCATTCAGTCTTTAATCTTTCATATCAACTTGTTTGGATATATAATGTAAAAAGGTTTAGGATTATGGTTAGGGTTCCACCTCAGGAAACCTTGCTGGATTACCTTGGAAAATAATTACTCTATACAGAATAGATTTTGCTAATTTGTTTTTGATAAACTGATGCACTTTCCCCCCACATATCTAGAATAGGCTAGTGCAGGACAAGATAAACATTAAAGTAGCAGATATATACCATTATACGACGAGAAAGAAAGAAAGAAAGAAAGAAAGAAAGAAAGAAAGAAAGAAAGAAAGAAAGAAAGAAAGAAAGAAAGAAAGAAAGAAAGAAAGAAAGAAAGAAAGAAAGAAAGAAAGAAAGAAAGAAAGAAAGAAAGAAAGAAAGAAAGAAAGAAAGAAAGAAAGAAATCACTTCTAAAGCAAAATTGTCTGATACAATGTCTAAATCAAAGCTGCAGATTATGAAAAGCGGCCAGTGAGACACTCAAAGAAAACATCTTCCTAAAAAGTTTGGAATTGTCATTTGTTTTAGCAGAATTCAGCCATTCTTTCTCTTCCACTCTCCACAAGCTTGTATTGCATAGATGAGTAAAATAAAAAAATTGAATGATGTGGGCTAATTGAGGAAATATATACAAGACAGAAGCGTTGTAACTGGAGAGGGCTTTGGCAGAATGGATTAAGGAGACTAAGGTAATGACAGCATACGCGTGTGCACACACACACACACTGCATAATTTGAGACAATTAAATGGTATGGATCAATCTGGAAGTTACGGTCACTTCACTGTACTCACTGGAAGTATGAAACAAAAAAAATCTGTAAAATAATCATTTCTCCAATGGCAAAAAGTTCAATGCAATGGGATAGAAAGATGTGAAATTACACATTGTTAGCAGATTTAAAAGCAAAAGTAATCTACAGTTATTTCTAGTGTGGTTGCAGCTTTTTTTACTTATTTAAAATGAAGGCATTATTTTTTTAAAAAAAATTAAAGACCAATATGTACATTAGTCTTTAGTAAAAGGGAAAAAAGATCACTCTAATGGGCACATGGGGACCAATCTGGCAGGGCATTAAAAAGTTACTGTGAGGGGCTTAGCAATCTCGCTTGTATTTAAAACAGTAGGTACAAAGCATCTTGATTACTTAAAGGAGTTGATATATTATTGGTTGGTCAACCTTTTCTGGAGAAGAGGGATGGCTATTCTATGAATATGTCCACAGGTTACACAATCTGGATAAATGTGTAAAGAGCAAGAGGCAAAAAGGTATTCCTTCCTAATAATAAATAATCACGTGCCGTCAATTCTGACTTATGGCAACCCTTTCCCTAGGAAGGCACAATTATACCAGCATATTTACCTTACAAATATGGCTTAAAATGTTTTAATACAGCATTTGAGGTGTGGGAGATACACTTGTATAATCAGCATTTGTACAATTATATTGTTTTGTTTTTAGGTTTAACCCAGCTTTCTTAATTCTTTTTCTCATACGACCACAAAAGGTACTGAGCGAAACCTCTAACCAGAAGAATTTTGAGTCAGATCATCCATACAGAATACAATCTGGGAAGTTGTATTCAATTGACAATGGAACACGGTTAATTTATCCATCACCAAACACTTTGTACTGTGAAAAGTGCTACAGAAAATCATGATGGAGAATAAGATGCCAGTTTAATTCTGAGACAACTGAAATGAAGTTCAGCTGTAAGAGAGAGGCCTCTTTTGAATTTTGAACGTCTCAGATTAAATATTTGTTTTAAGTATGTAATGCAGTATATAACAGAATGCAAAATTTGGCAGTAAAAATACGAATTAGATGGGGGTTGTTTTTTAAAAAAAGGTCAATTTCTGCAAATATTAGGTCTAAAATATCTGATTTGTAGTTTCTACAGCTACTTTATTCATTAGAGGTAAACCCTGGAAATAAAAGCAAGCAAAAATACATGATGCAAAAGGCCTTGCAGGATGTAACCCATGGAATACTTAGTGGCAGATTTCGCAAATGAAATTGCCATCAAAGGTACGAAAAGCATGTGGTTACACACAAATCCATTTACAAGCAACTAGATGAATTTTAAAACTTGTCAGCTCTGTCAAAGTGACGGAAGCAAGCACCAAACAGCCCTCTCCATTTTTAATCTAATAGTTCAACGGCTGTGTTTCACATACCCTCCATTAACCTACTAGATGACATTAACTTGAGCAGATGACAGATTCTCATACGTATGCATGCAGACTTTCATCCTCCTGTATATGCATATTCAAATGCAGACTACAAACCTACAACTTTGGAGACATGCACTGGCAAGGACGTGAAAGAAAGGTGATGAAAGAAAGATAAATATGGACATTTCTCTTTTGATATATTAGACTGTTAGATTTGATAGCCTAACATTTATTCTCCCAGTGCCTATCACATATTCTCTCTGTATCTTGAGACTGCTTGATCTTGCCTTACCCATACTATCATGACAAACTACAGCTAAATCTGCTTCTAATGAAGATGGCAAACAGTTGAAAGGCTGGCCCAGTACAGTAAATACCTACTCAGAAGAAAGCCCCACACAGCTCAAAGAAAGTTAATTATAGAAAAAAAAATGTAAGTATTGCAGCTTTAATTTGCAATCTTATATAGACCTACTCTGAAGGAACCTCTACTGAATCCGGTGGGACTACAGTAATTTCTGAATGGTCTGTCTGTACGAATTAAGTATATTTTAGAAGGCGTCATTTGATTTTAACAAAGAGTGTCTTATGCTCCAAAAGTATGCATACTTCCTTCAGAAGAAGTCCCATGAAAAAAATGGGACTAATAACTTCTGTTCAGATGCACACAGAGCTTTGGAGACATTCTTTTTCTGGACTACAGTTCCCAGAACATGGTAGGTAGAAGGATTCTGGGAGTTGTAGTCCAAAAGGAAAAAAAAATATGGAATGGCTTTGGACATATATAAGACTACACTATCAGGATACAGGTGTGTTTATATCCTTTCTTGGGATGTCTAAATAGGGCATAGATAAGATAGCGCAGCAGGCAAGTACCGTATCAGATGGCTTTATGAAATGTCCAAGCAACCAGGCAAACAAGACTCCTCTCTGCTTATTTAAAAAACGTCTGAACTTGAGTTCCTCCATGTATTCCCCCCCCCCAAGAACAGGGAACCGCAACCTCTTTCTTTCGGGCTGTTCTTGAACCTACTTCCGAACCCTTCATGGCTTTCAAAAGAGACTCCAGCCGTCAGGACGGCTGCCTGCTCGCTCTCGATCTCTCTGTCTCTCCCTCCAGTTCCTCCCTCTGCCCGATCCCTCGCCTAACAAAGCGCCATAAATTCATAAACAGTCGTTGCGCCGGGGATCAGCAGAGGGGAGAGGGCGAAAAACTTGCACCTGTCTTTCTTGACACAACACACCTGTCTGGCCCTGCCCATGCGCACTCGGCGCTCAGCTCCCCCTGTATGTACCATTTCAGGAGCTTCGCCAACACAGAGGCAAAGAAAGAGAGGCGTACAAACGCGCGCCCCCCCCTCCAAGTCCGCCCTTGTTAGAAGAGGCCACCGGGGGCTGTTACAACAGCTTTATAGCCAAAACTGCTGCTCGCTCTCTGCCTTACAACTGCTCTCTCTCTCTCTCTCTCTTTCCCCCCCCGCTACTACCCCGTTCTTCCTGCTATGCTCCGCAGACACCCCTCGCCCCGTCCACCATCCCCACCTGCCGCCGCGCAACTTTTCCAAGGGGCACTTTTCTGAGCAACTTTGCCGGGAGATGGGGGGGGGACTTAAACGCGCACAGGAGCGCGGAGACAGGACACAGACAGGCTCCATATAGCAGAGAAAGCGAGATGATGATGATTATGCAGGGGTTTTTTTTGCCATATTCAGTTTGTTCACGAAGTGGATATAATTCCACCAACTAGCCACAGAAAAGTGCCCCACGAGGCTTCTTGCAGAAATGTCTCTGACCGCCTCTCCAGTTAAAGGTTCAAGCGCGCTCCCCCCGCGCCCCCTCCCAAAAATCGCCGATGAGCACAACACGCTCATCCTCCTTTTGAGGGCTATCAGGTCGGGAGCAGGTCGAGGGAATGGATAAATCAACGTGGGGGGGGGGTTTGAGAGAGATACATAGGCGGCCTCCCTCCCCTTCAAAATTTGAGCCTCCTCAAACTCAGGGCTCTGGGTCATTGAAATCAGTTGGACCAGTTAGGCATAACTAACTGGAGTCCCGTTGATTTAAATGGCTCAGCTAGCAGCATGTTCAAGTCTGGATCCAACCAGACTCTGCACAACCGGAGTGAGAGAGAGAGAGAGAGAGAGAGAATGAGAGAGAGAGAGAGAGA